CCAGGCCCTGCCCGGGCCACCACGCAGCCCCCAGACGAAATTTTTTCCGTTACTGACCATTGCCCGCCCTCCCGCCCTAAAAAAATAATCTCTTTCGAGATAGTGCAAATCCCAGTCAACAGCCCCAGGCCAGAGGGGGGAAGAGCACAGGCCACACGCTCAGACACCAAGTCCAAGCATGTGGCCTGTGCTCTTCCCCCCTTTTACCATGCTCACCAACTACCCACCACCAAGACAAGACACCCACCACCACCAACACCAAGTACTACCTGGCCCATCTCCTCTGCTTCCTCCTCAGCCAAGGACAAGGACCTTCCTCTCCAAACAAGCTGCACCTCAGGGAACAACAGAAAAAAATATAGCAGTGCTGCATCTCACCAAACACACCACCACCACAAAACAAAAAAAAACAAAAACCAAAAAACAACAAAACAGCACCAAGACCCCAAGCTCCCTCACAAAACACAAGCCTAAACGGTGCAGGTTACCCTCCTCCAAGACCAGACTTGCCCCACACCATCGCACCTCAAAGCCACGTACACCGTCACCCTCCAACGAAACGCAGTTGTGTCCCCCGCCACCTGCTCACAGTGCACGCCACTCAGAAACAAAAGAACACCGCTTACCTCGCTCCGGAGACTCTCGCCGGCGGGATGCCCGGGGCGCCTGCGGCCCTCCGGACGCAGGACTCGCGGCTCCTTCGTCTCGCCGCCGGTGAAACCGCTCCCGGACAAGCGCGCCTCACCCTGCCACGAAGTCATCCGGTGCCGCTGCGTTCCCGGAGAAGGGGACTCCGCGACCCCAGCGCCGCTCTCACCGAAAAAGCCTTCTCGCTTCTCATCTTGCGGGTGTCAATGCCGCTCCTGCGCTTCGCGCGCTGACTAACAGCCGCAGCCCTTCTCTCCTCTCGCCCGTCCCGACCACGCGCGAGGCTACCGGCTGGGTCCGGCGTCGCCTCCCCTCGCCAAATCCGCTGCGACTCCTCCGGAAAAAGGTCCTTCAAGTCGCTGGCAGCTGTCACCTTGCTGAGGAGGAAAGCGGGGCTCCGTGCTGTCCAGTTCTCTGAGCCGAAGAGAAACTCCACCGCCTCCCTGCCTCTCCTGTAAGGAACGCGCAAGCATCCACAACGGCATTCCAGCCGTGCGACCTGTCCCACCGCAACTCCGGGATGGGAACGAGATCGCGCTCCTCGAGATGCCCGTTGCAGGCGGGAGGGAGGGGGAGGAAACGCGTGGGACCCCAGCGGCGCCGCCGTGCTGATCCCGAAGAACCGGCAGGGGCGGCCCGACGCGAGCCCCAAGAAGACAGATCTTACCTAGTGATTCCCGGACTGCTCACCTCTTCCACCGTCTCACCGGTTCGGGATGACGAGAGCCTCCGCTGCAGCCTCCGCTCAGCCTGCAAAACGAGAAGCCTTGTCTCGGCAGCACCGAGGCCGGAA